TATTGGCCCCGTCCTGGTTTCTGTCAACCCCTACCGGGACCTACAGATCTACAGCCGGCAGCACATGGAACGTTACCGGGGTGTCAGCTTCTATGAGGTGCCACCCCACCTGTGAGTGAACCCCAGCCTCTCCAGGAGTGACCCCCCCCTCCACCTGAGATGACCCCACCTGAGATGACTCTCACTCTAGAATATCCCTGACCTCCAACCTGGGATGAATCATTATTTACATCTGTGAGGGGTCCTACAATCTCTCACCTTAGAGTGACCCTGATCCCCACTTGAGATGAATCTCTCAACCCCATCTGGGTGGGGCCTCCCCAGCCCCCACCCCACCTCACACCCCTAGCTCCTTGCCCCCAACTGTACCTGGGCATGGCTCCCCAACCTCAGTGACTCTGCGACCCCAATCTCTACCTGAATGACTTCCAGGACCCCCACCCGTGAGTGATCTCCTCAGTCCTCCATCTCAGAGTGACCCCCATTTCAGGGTGAAGGACCTTCCCTGACCCGCAGTCCTGAGGGTCCCCCAATCCCCATCTGTGAGGGTATGCCCAACTCCCACCCACAAATGAATTCCAAGCAAATATGAGAAATACGGGAATCCCTGTGCCCCATCCCCCTCCTACCTTGCCCCACTCCCATCCCTTAAGCTCCTGACAAGCCTCTGCCCCAGGTTTGCAGTGGCCGACACCGTGTACCGGGCACTGCGCACCGAGCGCCGGGATCAGGCGGTGATGATCTCTGGGGAGAGCGGGGCAGGCAAGACAGAGGCCACCAAGCGACTGCTGCAGTTCTACGCTGAGACCTGCCCAGCCCCCGAGAGGGGGGGTGCTGTACGTGACCGGCTGCTGCAGAGCAACCCGGTGCTGGAGGTAGGGGACAGCAGTGTCTGCAGGGAGGGAGGGGCAGGGAGAGAACACCAGATATCCCTCATACCCCCCTCCACTCCTAGGCCTTCGGAAATGCCAAGACCCTCCGGAACGATAACTCCAGCAGGTTTGGGAAGTACATGGATGTGCAGTTTGACTTCAAGGTACCTGTGGATGGGTCAAGGCAGGGGGAATGGGATTCCCAGGTAGTAGGCACCCACTCGCCAGGTCTTTGGTATCAGCAAATATTTATTGAGAGTCTACTCTGTGCCAGATGCTGTTCCAGGTGCCAGTGGTACAGCAGTGAAACAAAATAGACAAAAATCCTGCCTCCAGGGAGATAGACAATAAACAGAAAAATGTAATTTAGGTGACGAGTGCTATAGCAAAAAATAAAATGAAGTGAGGGGTGGGGCCAGTTGCTATTTTAAATAAGGCAGATAGGGTAGACCTCACTTAGAAGGTAGTATTTTGGTAAAAGCTTGATGGAGACAGGGGAGCAAGTTGTGCGGATACCTAGGGGAGAGAGTTCAGGCAGCGGGACTAACCAGTGCAAAGGCCCTGGGGTAGGAGGGTACCTGGTAAGGACAGCAAGGAGGCCAGAGAACAAGGTGCCCAGGAATAGGAGGGGAGACTGGATGGTGCAGGCACTTCTGGGTCTTTGTAAAAAGTTTAAAAGAAAACAACTCTGAGTAGGGGCGCGTGGGTGGCTCAGTCGGTTAAGCCTTTGACTTTGGCTCAGGCCATGATCTCATGGTTCATGAGTTTGAGCCCCGTGTCGGGCTCTGCGCTGACAGCTCGGAGCCTGGAGCTTGCTTTGGATTCTGTGTCTCCCTCTCTGTCTGCGCTGCCCCCCCCCACCCCCCCGGCACATGCTCTGTCTCTGTCTCTCTCAAAACTAAATAAAACAAAACAAGAAACTCTGAGTAGAAGGGGAGCTGTTGGAGGGTTTGGAACAGAAGTGCGTCATGATGTGACGTTGCTCTCCAACAGATCCCTCTAGTGCTTTGTCGAGAGTAGATGGTAGGAGAAGCAGGCTGAACAAGGAAACCAGTCCAGAGGCTGGTGGTTATTAAGCCGAGATGACAGATGACAGTGGCTGGGACCAGTGTGGTGGCAGTGTAGAGTTTTGGATGTTTTGAGGGTTAAAGCAGCAGGATTGGCTGCGTGGCGGGACATGAGGTTAGGGAGGAAAAGAGGCTTCCGAGAGGAGGGCAAACTTCTTGGGCCGAATACCTAGGGGGCGGAGTGGCCATTGACCAAGATGGGAAGAGAGGAGCTGGTCTGAGGAGGGGACACCACGAGTACAGGGTGCAGTTCCAGGCCTGTTGAGTGTAAGCGGCTCGTCGGACAGCCAAGTGGAGTGGCCAGGTAGATAGGGCCGGACGTGCTCATTTCCCAGATGAGAACACGGAGGCCAGAGGGGGTGGCTGGCTGAGCCCATGCAGCTAGTCGCAGCTCTAGAATTAGAGGCCAGGAGTGCAGAGGAAGGCAGGGGAGGGTGGGTTGGAGCCTATCCCCAGGCCCCCTGAACAGCCACCACGTCCTGCCCTGCCCACAGGGTGCACCTGTGGGTGGCCACATCCTCAGTTACCTGCTGGAGAAGTCCCGAGTGGTTCACCAGAACCACGGGGAGAGGAACTTCCACGTCTTCTACCAGCTGCTGGAAGGGGGCGAGGAGGAGTTGCTGCGCAGGCTGGGCTTGGAGCGGAACCCCCAGAGCTACCTGTACCTGGTCAAGGTGAGTCGCGAGTGGGCAGGGCGGGTGCCACCCAGGGAGCGCAGCGCCGGGGCTGGTGACCCAGCTCTGCCCTTCCCCCAGGGCCAGTGTGCCAAAGTCTCGTCCATCAATGACAAGAGTGACTGGAAAGTCGTCAGGAAGGCTCTGACGGTCATCGACTTCACTGAAGATGAAGTGGAGGTGAGGCTGGTGCTGGGGACGCCCCCCCCCCTTTCCTCCTGCCGCGCCTGGAAAACCTCCGTCCGCTTTTACAGCCCTTACAGCTCCCTTCTCTCAGACACTCCCCCACCTATTCCTTGCTCCATCTGACTGCTCACTGGTTGCCCTCTTTGGCTCTCTGCCCCTCCTGTGACCCCCACCCACCCCTCCCTGTTTGTCCAGGACCTGCTGAGTATTGTGGCCAGCGTCCTGCATTTGGGCAACATCCACTTTGCCGCTGATGAGGAGAGCAACGCCCAGGTCACCACCGAGAACCAGCTCAAGTATCTGACCAGGGTGAGTGGGGTGAGCAGAGGGCGAGGGCAGAGGGGCTGGGGTGAGGAGGAGTGCACCCCCACCATGCCCACCCCCTCCCTTGACAGCTGCTTGGTGTGGAAGGCTCGACGTTGCGGGAAGCCCTGACACACAGGAAGATCATCGCCAAGGGGGAGGAGGTGAGGCCAAGCCTTTGTCTCAGGATGTGGGGGGTGAAGGGGGTGCAGGTGCTCCAAGGCCTCTTCTGAGACTCCCACCTCCAGGAACGCAGCCTCCTGTCCTTACACCGTCTTCCCTCTGATGTGGCCACTGTGGCCTCTCCTGGTGTGTCCCACCCCCCAGGCTCACCAGGAGCCGGGAGGACAGAGTGGCCATGGTTTTCTGGTGCTCGGCCTGAGCCCATACGGGAGGCAGATGGAAAGGGGTCTGTGGCATTCATCTCCCGTCTCACCTTGGCTGGCAGCTCCTGAGCCCGCTGAACTTGGAACAGGCTGCGTATGCACGAGACGCTCTTGCCAAGGCCGTGTACAGCCGCACTTTTACCTGGCTGGTCAGGAAGATCAACAGGTCGCTGGCCTCCAAGGTGAGCTCGTGGCCGTTGGCCCATGCTGCTTCCGAGGCAGCAGAGAGGGCAGTCCAGGGAGGCCTGGGGCTGGGTGCTGGCAAACACCAGGACCCACGCTCTTTGTTGAACCGCTGGCCCTAGGATGCTGAGAGCCCCAGCTGGCGGAGTACCACGGTCCTTGGGCTCCTGGACATTTATGGCTTTGAAGTGTTTCAGCACAACAGGTCAGCCCCCCCGTCCACCTGCCCGTCTCTCCTCCCATCTCCCCTGTCCCGGTCCCTCTCCTCTTGCCCCTGCCTCTCGTATTCCTGACGAAGTCCCCGGCCACCTCGGGTCTTGCTCTGTGTACCTTCCCTTAGCTACTCCGAGTCCTCCCCGCATCTCTCCCCTGTCCTGATCCTGTGTCTCCCTTGAACTACCGTGGGCTCTTCTGTTTCCTTCACAGCTTTGAGCAGTTCTGCATCAATTACTGCAACGAGAAGCTTCAGCAGCTCTTCATCGAGCTCACCCTCAAGTCGGAGCAGGAGGAATATGAGGCAGAGGGCATCGCGGTGGGTGCGAGCCTACAGGTGTCCCTATGGACACCCCATAGGAAGCCAGGCACTGGGGTCCCCCGGACAAGGTGCTAGGACCCCATGATGATGCCGTCCTTCCCTTTTGCCCTTCAGTGGGAGCCCGTCCAGTATTTCAACAATAAGATCATCTGTGACCTGGTAGAGGAGAAGTTCAAGGGCATCATCTCCATTTTGGTGAGTCCTTTGCTCTTTCGAGGACTCATATTGGGGGCTGGGTGGGAGGATGTTACTCCATTCCCTGTTCTCTTAGGCCTGTCCATGGAGGGCCTGAGTTTGGTGTTGAGTAGGGACAGGGCAGGGCTGTGTGTGGAGGGTGAGGTGAGGTGCTGGTCTGGTCTGGAAGCTGTCTGTGGGAGGCTCCCTATGATCTGCCCCTGTCTGCTGCATCTCTGCTTCCTGGCACGATGCCCCTGAGTCTCCTGTGCCCTCTGGCTCCTTCCCTGATACATCCCTCATCCTCTGCCACACCCCCCCAGGATGAGGAATGTCTGCGCCCTGGGGAGGCCACGGATCTGACCTTCCTGGAGAAGTTGGAGGACACAGTCAAGCACCATCCGCACTTCCTGACGTAAGCGGGGTGGCCGAGCAGCTTAGGGGCAAGGGCTCGCTTGGGGAAGAGCCTGTGAAGCGCAGGATCCCCCTACAATCCTAAGACCCCAGTCATAAGGAGGGATGACCAGGGGAGTTGCTAAGCTGAGGACAGGTGCACAAAGCCACAGCTTGTGGTGCATCCACAAAGTAAGAAGCTAAGAGGAGCATGGCTGCCTCCTTATTCTTTTTTGAGAATGAAACTTAAGATTTTTTTAGCTTCCTTATTTGGAAGTTGCTCTTTCTTTAAGGATTCCCCTAATGTGGGAAGGGGAAGGAAAGAAGCAAGCACCTCTGCCCTGCATCTTTTGTGCACATCACCTCCTCTAACCTGAAGCAAGCCTGTAAGGAGGCATTCGTGGTGCTTTTTCCACTGTACTGAGGCTCCAAGAGGTGACATCATTTGCCTAAGGTTATCACACATTTAGTAAGTTGCAGAGCTAGGACTCAGGCCTGGAGCTGTTGAATGCCAAAGCCCTGAGCATTTTACCTTTTTATTTTTTTATTTTTATTTTTTGCTTAGTTGTAACCTTAAGGGGCACCTGGGTGGCTCAGTCGGTTAAAAGTCTGACTCTTTTTTTTAAAATTTTTTTTCTAATGTTTATTTATTTCTGAGACAGAGACAGAGCATGAGTGGGGGAGGGGCAGAGAGAGAGGGAGACCCAGAATCCGAAGCAGGCTCCAGGTTCTGAGCTGTCAACGCAGAGCCCGATGCAGGGCTTGAAGTCATAAACCGTGAGATCATGACCTGAGCCGAAATTGGTCATTCAACTGACTGAGCCACCCAGGCACCCCAAAAGTCTGACTCTTGATTTCAGCTCAGGTCATGATCTCACGGTTTGTGCGTTCAAACCCCGCATCAGGCTCTGCGCTGACAGTGCAGAACCTGCTTGGGATTCTCTCTCTCTCTCTCTCTCTCTGCCCCTCTCCTGCTCATACTCTCTCTCTTTCAATTTATTTATACATAAATAAACTTTAAATTAAAAAATCGTAACACTAAAAACCTCTTCCTGGGGGCGCCTGGGTGGCTCAGTCAGTTAAACATCCAACTTCGGCTCAGGTCATGATTTCAGGGTTCTCAGGGTGCAGCGCTGACGGTGTGGAACCTGCTTGGGATTCTCACTCTCTCCTCTCTCTCTGCCGCTGCCCCACTCACGCTTTCTCTCTCTCTCTCATAGTAAATAAATTAACATTTTTTTTTCTGATTGTAAAAATAATGATGCTCATTAGAGAAAAATTGGAATGTGTGCAAAAGCCACTTGTTATCTAGCTTAACACCCAGAGGTCATCACTGTTAACAATGTGAGGCATTTCCTTCCTGCCTTTTTCTATATGTTTTTTTTTCATAGTTGAAAACTTATTGTGTATAAGGTTCAGGATAATGTTATATCCTGAGTGTTTTCCTGTATCATCAAACAGAAAAATTTCCTCAAAACACTTCCTCCAGTGGCTCTAACTCACAGATATTCCAGTGCTCTCACCCAGCCTCTGGAGGCCCCTAGCCAGCCTCCAGGCTTCTGCTGGGGTAACAAGGCTGCAACAAACATCCTTGTGCTTTAAATCTCTCCCTGTATCTCTGGTTAGTTGCTTGGAATAGTTGTAGAAAATGGTGGGGGTGGGGGTGCGCCTGGCCGGCTCTGTCGGTGGACCATGTGACTCTTGATCTCGGAATTGTAAGTTTGAGTCCCATGTTAGGTATAGAGATTACTTAAAAAATAAAATCTTAAAAAAAAAGTAGACAATGGGTTAAAGGGTATAAATACACTTAAGTAATCTTTTGGGGCAGATTTCCATTCTTAAAATGCAGTGGGCAGCACTGAGCCTTCTGAGCAGAGTCACATAACAGCCACAGGCAATGAAAGGAGACCTCTGCCCCGTGAGCCCCAGCCGCGCAGAGGCCTGCATCCCGGTCCTGGCACTGTGTGACCCTGGGAAAGGCCGTCTGCCTCCCTGAGCCTCCGCAGCTGACAGCTCTGCCCTGTCTGTCGCCAGGCATAGAGGGTTGTGGCGTGGCCCAGGGCGTACCTGCTCCTTACTAGATGCCCGGTTCGTCTCTTGATCCTCTTCAGCAGGAAGGCGCATGGCTCAGGCCAGCAATCTGTAGCTTCCTCTCGTTCTCCAGGCACAAGCTGGCTGACCAGCGGACCAGGAAATCTCTGGGCCGTGGGGAGTTCCGCCTTCTGCACTATGCTGGAGAGGTGACCTACAGTGTGACCGGTGAGGATTCTGGAGCTGGGTCCCCACAGTGGGCAGGGAGAGGGGCTCTCCCTCACCTCGTGTCTGCTCCCCCCTCCCAGGGTTTCTGGATAAAAACAATGACCTTCTCTTCCGGAACCTGAAGGAGGTGAGAAAGACTGGGGAGAGGGATCGGGATCTGGGCACTGACTGACCTCTGCTCCAGGAACGGGTCCCACCTGTCCCTGTGCCCTGACTCCCTGCTTTGCCCTCACAGACCATGTGCAGCTCAGAAAATCCCATTATGAGCCAATGCTTCGACCGGAGTGAGCTCAGCGACAAGAAGCGGCCAGAGACGGTGTGGAGGCTGTGGGGACCTGAGGGGGCACGTGTGTGCACGTGTGTGTGGATGGGTGCCTGCGTGAGCCAGGAGTTGGCAGCGTGCATGTGAGCTACGTGTTCACTGGTACACATCTGTGTGCGTCTAGGAGGCTGCCCGTGGGTGCATCTGTGCTGGCTTCCATGTGTGCACCTGTCTCTACCTGTAGACCCACACATGAACCCCCGAGTCCTTGTGGGGATTGTACCTGTCTCTGCATCGGCACTTGCCTGCATTCACCCACTCGGCAGACATTCCTAGGCACTTAGGAGACCAAAATGAATAGGTGCTTTCATAGAAATGTGCACAGGGTGCTTTGGAAACAGAATAAGGAACAGCAAATTGCCTGAGGGAGTAGAAGTGGGGGGAGCAGTCTGGGAAGGCTTCCTAGAGGAAGCATCTGAGATAACTTGGGACTGAGTAAGTGCTTGTCAGAGGGACCTATGGGAGAGCACAGCAGGCAGAGGAAGGTCCAGCACAGACACGCAGAACCCAAAAAAAGACCAGGAGGTTGACAGGAGAGTGACATCATGGAGAGAGAGGCTGGGAAAGGCGGGTGCGGCCAGTAGTGCCTGATTCAGGGAGAGCTCCAGTGAGCTGAGGGCAGAGGTGTGGCTGTTGGGTGTGGCGGGAGGAGGCCCCGGGTCCCAGCAGGAGCGGGCTCAGTCTGAGGTAGAAGCTGGAGTACTGCAGGCTGAGACACGCTGGCAGGGAGGGTGCAGAAACCATGGGTTGCCCAGTGTCCCACTCCTCAGTCCCTTGTTCCCTGATGCATACCCCTCGCCCTCCCCACACACACACACCTCCCTTCGCAGGAAGGACACGCACCACTGTCCAGGCCTCTCCAGCAGGCTGCAGGTTCACGTATCCACTGATCTCCTCCAGTGCCTTCCAGGCAACCCACTGGTCTAAAATGGGCCCTTGATTGCACAGTGCCCCAGGCCTGCCCCTTCTGTGTCCCTAACTCAGGACGAGGATCACCCACCACCCAGTCTCACAGGCCAGAAACCTGGGCAACATCTGTGACTCTTCAGTCTCCCCCATCTCCCTCATCCAGACAACTACTGGATCTTGCTGGTTCCTGCTGCCTGAGTACTTCTCAGCTCCTTCCCCTCAGCCTGTCCCCATAACCACTGCTCCAGTTCAGTGCTCTGAGCCAGCCAGTGTCATCTCTGGTCTCCTCCTGGCTTCCTGGCTGCCCTTGCCACCCACCCTCCATATATTTGCTTAGAGGTCTTCCAAAATGCAGATCTGTGCCTGCTGTTCCCTCATTCCAGATTCCTCATTGGCTCCCTATTTCCCTCAGGAGAAGTCAGTCCCCCGAAAGTGACTCTCCAAGCCTGTCATGATACTGCATCTGCTTTCCTCTCTAATCCTATCTTGTTTACTCCCCATCTGGATCCTTTCACTGCTTATAGCTCCCTGGGTACATGAAACTTTTGCTCAGGCTGTCCCTCTGCCTGAATACCTTCCTCTCCTCTCTTCCTTCTGGCTATCTCCTACTTATCCTTTAAATCTCAGCCCAAAGGGCATTTCCTGATGCCCCTTACCCCACCGACTAGATTAGTTGCCCCTCCTTGATGCTTTTGGAACCCCCAGGCACACACCTCTGTCATTGATGGAATTGCGAATCTGTTGAGAAGTCTGCTTCTCCCGTAGGCCTGAGATCCTTGACGGTCTTGATGAGCAGTGTGCAGAGACAATGGTTGGATGCATAGGCATTAGGACACACTGGTAAAGAAGGTGGCCCTGAAATTCTAGAAGGAGAAAGAGTTGTCGTCAAAGGGAGATGTAGAATCGGGGTTGTGGGGATACCTGAACAAGTGTTTTTGTTTTTGGTTTTTTAAGTAATCTCTACAGCCAATGTGTAAAAGATTGGGTGTAGAGATTGGGTGTGGCTTGAGCCCACAAGAGTAGGTTCCAATGATTGAGTCTCAGCCTGGTGCCTCCTGAGCAGGGTTTTTAGATAGGAGTGAGGTTCCTAAGCTGATGTCTCTAGCCCAGCTGGAAGATGCCAGCAGTCTGGTCCCTCCCTCTACTGTGAGCTTGGGGAGGCAAAAGGAAGGGCCCAAGTAGGGCCCAGGGTAGCTGTGGGGACTGGCGCCACTCCACTCCAGGAAGGGGCGTCTGCAGGGTTCAGCAGCTTTGCCCCAGTGAGGGGCAGCTGCAGGGATCCACAGCCTTGGCCAACCTTCCATTCACTTTGGCTGCCCAGGTTGCCACCCAGTTCAAGATGAGCCTCCTGCAGCTGGTGGAGATCCTGCAGTCCAAAGAGCCCGCCTATGTCCGCTGCATCAAGCCCAATGATGCTAAACAGCCAGGTAGGTGCCTCTGCCCGCCATAGGCCTGTGGGGACTGGGTCAACCTGCAGGGGCAACAGGCTATCCATCCCTGAAAGTCCACTGACCACCCTGTTACCCCTCCCCCAGGCCGCTTTGACGAAGTGCTGATCAGGCACCAGGTGAAGTACCTGGGGTTGATGGAGAACTTGCGCGTGCGCAGAGCCGGCTTTGCCTATCGTCGCAAATACGAAGCTTTCCTGCAGAGGTGGGGGCGTGGCCTGGCTCAGCGCCAGGGAAAGGGGGTAGGAGGGTAGGAAATTTCTGGGTCCCGTGAGAGCAGACAGGGATTCTTAGCCCCATTTCAGAGACTAGGACACTGAGTCTCTGAGCTGCTGTGGGACGCATGCCAGGGGACCCTCCATGCTTGAAGGCCTAATATCAAGCTAGGTGGACAGGATGCCAGTGCTCCCAACCCCATCCCCCACCCCACCCGCTCAGGGACCTGCCCTCATAGAGCACCTGGTTAGGGGTCCATAGGCATGCATCCACATGCTTGTCACCAGGTGGCATGGTAAAAGTCTATGAAGAGGACAGAGTTTCCAATCAATTCAGAAAGGATAGAGCAGCTTTGTGGTTGGTCTAAGGGGCTGGAGAGTCAATCAGATTTGAATTCCTTCCCTGCCACTTTCTAGCCCTGTGGCCTTAGACAGATGAGGATACATCAGTTTCCTCCTCTTTAAAATGGATGCAGTGGTGGGGCGCCTGGGTGGCTCAGTTGGTTAAGTGTCCGACTTCAGCTCAGGTCATGATCTCATGGTTCGAGAGTTCGAGCCCCGCGTCGGGCTCTGTGCTGACAGCTCAGCGCCTGGAACCTGCTTTGGATTCTGTGTCTCCCTCTGTCTCTGCCTCTTCCCTGTTTGCTCGCTCTCTCTCTCTCTCTCTCTCTCTCTCTCCCTCTCTCAAAAATAAATAAACTTTAAAAAATTAAAAAAAAAAATGGATGCAGTGGGGCGCCTGGGTGGCTCAGTCGTTTAAGTGTCCTACTCTTGATTTTGGCTCACAGTCATGAGATCTGAGCCCCTGTGTTGGGCTCTTTGCTGAGTGTAGAGCCTGCTTAAGATCCTCTCTCTCCCTCTCCCTCTCTCTCTCTGCCCCTCTCCTGCTCACTCTCTCGAAAAATAAATAAATAAAATAAAATGGATATAGTGACAAAGTGACCTCTGAGGCTTTTCATGAGCTGCAAGTCATGGGTGGGAGTACCCAGCATGTACCCCAAAAAGCTGATTTGGGTCCCCAGGGGTGGGGGGGAATTGATTGGGGTGGGGCCTGGGTGCATTTCCGCTCCTCCTGTCTCCAGGTACAAGTCACTGTGTCCAGAGACATGGCCCACATGGGCAGGACGGCCCCAGGATGGGGTGGCTGTGCTGGTCAGGCACCTGGGCTACAAGCCGGAAGAGTACAAGATGGGCAGGTGAGTGGTACCCGCCCACACCCAGTGTTTGGGGTGCTAAGGGGTAGCAAGCAGGGGCTGATCACTGCTGCCTCCTCAGGACCAAGATCTTCATCCGCTTCCCCAAGACCCTGTTTGCCACAGAGGACGCCCTGGAGGTCCGGCGGCAGAGCCTGGGTAAGAGAGAGGCCGCACCTTCCTGTCCCAGTGGGGTCTGTTCTGGGGAGAAGGAAAGAAATCACTGCATTTGGGCCTTTTCTCCAGGAAGCCCAGTTCACTCACATTCAGCTCCCCTCCTCCTTACCAGCTCCAGTCCTGCTCCTGGATGCAAACTCTGAGCACATTCCCACCTTCCTTTGCTCCCTCCTTCACTCCTTCACGCACTGCATTCTCCTTCTCTTATGTATCCTCTCATTCAGTAGTTCCTTCAGCCACTCTCATTCGTGCCCCTCAGTGAGCTCTGACAGTTCCAGGCCCTCAGCTGGTTCCCCAGGGCTCTGGCCAAGTGACTTTCTTTCCCCACCACAGCCACGAAGATCCAGGCCGCCTGGAGGGGCTTTCACTGGCGGCAGAAATTCCTCCGTGTGAAGCGATCAGGTGCGGGGGCCCAGGGGTCCTCAGAAGGGGCAGGGTCTGGGGCTAGAGTGGGCCGCCATCATGAGGAGATTAAGGTCAGCCGTTTGTGGTCTCCGCAGCCATCTGCATCCAGTCGTGGTGGCGGGGAACGCTGGGCCGGAGGAAGGCAGCCAAGAGAAAGTGGGCCGCCCAGACGATCCGGCGGTGAGCACCGGGGCGCCACGAGGGGGTGGTGCAGAACAGGCGGTGGGGCGCTGCCAGGCCTCTCACCCCCACCCCTGGCGGGCCCACACCCCCAGGCTCATCCGTGGATTCATCCTGCGCCACGCACCCCGTTGCCCTGAGAATGCCTTCTTCCTGGACCACGTGCGCACCTCCTTTCTGCTCAACCTGCGGAAGCATCTGCCCCGGAATGTCTTGGACACTTCCTGGCCCACACCGCCACCTGCCCTGCGTGAGGTCCGTGGGCTTCCCTGCTGATCTGGGGACCGTGAAAGCACTCAGCGGAGGGGCCTACTGATCTTGTGGACGGAGAAGCATTGGAGGTCCCCCGAGGGAGAACTGGAGCTGGGCCACGGAGAATGAGTTCTTTTGAGAGAAACGGCTCAGGAATGGAAGGGATGTCCAGGCATCACTTCTGGCAAAGGCCCAGTAGTGGGCATATGCCTAGTGTCTTCAGAGGGAAGGGAGCCGGGCTGTGTAGGTGCCCTGACCTCCCTCGTACCCTCAGGCCTCAGAGCTTCTACGGGAGCTGTGCATGAAGAACATGGTGTGGAACTACTGTCGGAGCATCAGCCCGGAGTGGAAGCAGCAGGTATGGAGAGCGAGGAGGCAGGCGTGGACTGGGACTAGCCAGCGAGGTCAGTTTGGGAGTGGTTAACGGCCACCCCCCCCCCGCCCCGGATTTACGGTGTGATGTCAGACGGATCCCGGGCCCTATTTGGCCTCGCGTGTGAGGTCAAGGCTGGAGTGGCTCCTGGGTGGCAAATAGAATTTGTCCTATGGGCCCACTCCACCGGAGTGGTAGAGGCTCCCCAGAGCCCTGTGTTGAAAAGGCTACAGAATCAGTCTGATCCGTTGGTAACGTCTGCCGTGGTTGCACGGGTGGACGTTGGTGGCTGATGTGCCTTGTGTTGGCCAAGTCACTATTGGATGATGCTGAAAGACCCACCAGCTCAGATAACCTGTTAGTAGTTTAGAGTATCAGCAATCAGCCAGCTTCAAGGTGCCAAGCTAGAGGTGAACGCCGGGGGCCCCAGGGCCTGATACGATGAGGAGTTAGCCCCCAGGTCGAGCCTAGCCCCTGGAAACGCTGTCTTGACCCTTCTGGAAAGCCTTCTGTCTTGTGAGTGGGGTTGGGGGCAAAGCAGAGGGAGAGGCCAACAGCAGGGTTGGTGGCAGGGCCTCGCCTCCTGGTGCTGGGGCCAGAGAGAAGGTGAGAGACTGTCTCAGTTCCTGGGGCTGGCCTGCCCCTTCCCGCTCCCTGATGGTTCCCACCCCTTGTAACCCCCACCTCCCGCCCTTGTCTCCTCAGCTGCAGCAAAAAGCCGTGGCTAGTGAGATCTTCAAGGGCAAGAAGGACAATTACCCCCAGAGTGTCCCCAGGCTCTTCATCAGCACTCGGCTTGGTGAGCCCCTTTCAGTGCTCCGACCCCCCAGCACCATCCAACTTAAGTCCCCTCTCCCCTCCCCTGACCTCTCTCTCCCCCGTCTGCGTTGCAGGTGCAGATGAGATCAGCCCCAAGGTACTGCAGGCCCTCGGCTCTGAGCCCATCCAGGTGAGACCACGGTTCTGCGGCCTGAGGGCTGCATGGGGGGTGCTCAGGGCCTGGGCAGAGAATGAGGGGCTGCCCTGGAGGCCCCGTAGCCCCTCCCCGAGCCCTCACCCCACCTTCCATCCGCAGTATGCGGTGCCTGTGGTGAAATACGACCGCAAGGGCTACAAAGCCCGCTCCCGGCAGCTGCTGCTGACACCCAGCGCCGTGGTCATCGTGGAGGACGCCAAAGTCAAGCAGAGGATTGACTACACCAACCTGACCGGTGAGCGAGAGCCCAGGGCTGCTTAGGGAGGGCCCCTGCTCTGACCCTTGACCCCTAACCTCTGCCCTTCTCCTCAGGAATCTCTGTCAGCAGCCTGAGCGACAGCCTCTTTGTGCTGCATGTGCAGCGGGAGGACAATAAGCAGAAGGTACCCTGTTGGGGCCTGGGCGGCAGGGCCGAGGTGGGTTCTCGAGCTTTGGGCAGGGCCTGACCCCTCTCTCTTCTGGACGCCCCCAGGGGGATGTGGTGCTGCAGAGTGACCACGTGATTGAGACACTGACCAAGACAGCCCTCAGTGCTGACCGTGTGAACAACATCAACATCAACCAGGGCAGGTGAGGCGGTCAGGGGTGATGAGGGGACCAGGCGTGCGTATGCAGACAGCCCTCACACACCCCCTTCCTTCCAGCATCACGTTTGCAGGGGGCCCCGGCAGGGATGGCATTATCGACTTCACGCCTGGCTCGGAACTGCTCATCACCAAGGCCAAGAACGGGCACCTGGCTGTGGTGAGTGGGGCCAGCAGGCAACAGCCCACCTCCCTACCAGTAGCCCTGGGGCTCAGGTGAGCCTCGGGTGCCGAGCTTCCTCGGCAGCTTGGCAGAGCCTGGGCAGCTCATCCATGGGTCTCCATCCGTGGGGCATCAAACCACCTTGTTCTTCCCATTGCCCATTGAGGGCCAGAGAGTGGGGCCATATGAGCCTCCACGGTGCAGAGGGTCATAAAGATGGCAGCATCGGGAGGTGGGGGAGGCCTGGGAGTCTCGAGGGGAGCTGTAGACAAGGCCCACTCTGGCAGGACGGGGAGTCCGATGGGAGTAGGATAGAGTCTCCAGGACTGAGGCCACCAGACGCCCACCCCTCAGACCGCCACTGCATTTATCTAATCCATGTAGACAAGCACCCAAAGCACCTGGGTCTGCTTCCTACTCACCACTTGGGCTTCTCTCTGCCCCCATAGGTGGCCCCACGGCTGAACTCTCGGTGATGAAGGCGCCCACTGGACCCCCTCCCACCTCCCAATGCTTTGCTTGTCCCCACCTCCCCTTCCCACTTACCAAAGACTCGAGCTTCTAGACAGGGACCCAGGGACACCTCGAAGCCCACTGACAAATTCCTGCCTTTTGCTCACCCCTCTCTTGAGGGAGCAGCGGGGGCCAGGGAGCTGCCCCAGAAGTGGGCCAGGCCGGGCCACAGCAATAGGAAAGCCGGGGACAGAGGCGGCCATGCCAGCCCCACTGCCGATGCCAAATATTTGAGAGAAGGGAACTTTTGCTGAGGTTTTCTCTGAGATTTTTTGATGCTTTATAAGAAACTATTTTTTAAAAAAGCTATTTTCCCACCCCAAGACACACTGGATGTGTTTTCCCTGATGCCAGCAGGGCAGGGAGTGTAGCCGAGGGGTTGGGTGGTCTGGGCCCCGGTGCCCTCTCCCTTGCCCAGGCCACTCTCTTCTCTTCATTCCCTTGGTACCTTTCTTTCTGCCTGCCTGCCCACCTGTACCCTTTGCAGCCCACTCTGCCATCCCCTTGGGGGCTGAGACCACCTCTGCCTGCCCCCTTCTTCCTGCCTTAAAAATACCCTTTCAAAATCATCACCCCGCCTGAGGACATCCTGGAGCGGGGGAAGGGGTCTTAGACCACAGAATTTGGAACACGCCGAGAGATCATCTAGTGTAAGCTTCCTGGTGTGACAGAGCAGGAGACAGAGGCCCAAGAGAAGGGATGTGCCCTTCATCCAGTAGGTTGGGGCAAAACCAGGACTGCAGTCCTGTCTTCAACACACCTCACTGCCTCTCCAGGGACAGATTCATGTCTTTAAGGGTGCGTGTGGCTCCCTAACCAGCAATCACCCTGGGGGCCAACAGGTGGGAGAAGCAGTCCTACCTGAGTCTATGCCTTAGGATGACAAACATCCTGTTTATATACTTTGGCCCCAATTCAAGGATGTAGGCCCTTTCCTGGCCCTTACGCCCTCCTGTCTGCGGAGCCCAGGGAAGGGGCTAGCCTTGGGAGGAGCTGCAGAGGCATCACCTCTTTCTGCTGTGTCCCCCCACCTCCCCAGAGGGCCTGAGCGCTGCCCAGCTGCCTCTGCCCTCCTGGGGGTCTCAGCCCACTGCTGATACTTCTGCAATCCAGAGAAACACTAAATAAAGCAATATGTGTTTGCCAACATTGGTCTGCTTGTGAATGTTAGGAAAAGGGACAGGACCCCTAAAGGCAACCCGGGATCTTGTGTTAGAATTTTTGCCTTGTCCACAGAAGGAAGAAGGCAGGGTGCCTTCCCGGAGGGAAAACAGAAGTAACCAGTAGCTGCAACAGACTTGCTTTTTCGTTAACTATCTACCGAAGGGCTGCTCAGCCTGGCCCACTGCTGTGGGCCAGGGGAAGATGCATCTCACACAGTCCCTGCCCAGTGGTCCTCAGCCCGGCGGAGAGAAACACAGCCCAGTGTGGGAAGTGCAGGCCCCAAGGGGCACACTGACTAGCGATGGACTCAGTGGGGGAGAAAGGCTATAAACACTTCACAGAGAAGATGACATCTGAGCTGGGTCCCAAAGGATAGGCTCCAAATTCTGTAGCAAGTGGCAAATAAAATCTAAATTGGCTTGGGCAGAAAAGGCATTTATTAGCATTAGCGACCTAATGGTCCCAGGGTAGGGCTGCTTGCAGGCACTCAAACAACATCGTTAAGAACATGTCTGGGACCGTCTCTTGGCTCAGCCTTCCTCTGCGGTGGCTCCACTGTCAAGCAGGTTCTGCCCCGTGGCATGGCGGCAACAGTCAGCAGCAGCTCTAGGCTTTCACTCTGTGAGTTGAGCATAAGGAGGTAGGAAAAAAGAGTGTCTTTCCCAGTAATTCAAAAGTCTCAGGGGGCGCCTGGGTGGCTCAGTCGGTGAAGCGTCCAACTTTGGCTCAGGTCATGATCTCGCCGTTCCAAGTTCAAGCTCCTCGTCGGGCTCTGTGCTGACAGCTCAGAGCCTGGAGCCTGCTTCAGATTCTGCGTCTCCCTTTCTTTCTGCTCCTCCCCCGCTCATGCTCTGTCTCTCTCCCTGTGTCTCAAAAATGAATAAACGTTAAAAAAAAAATGACAAAAAAAAAAGTCTCAGAGCCAATGCAGAGTAGACCAACTTGAATGAAGACCTTGAACTGGGTCTTCCCTGACCCAACTGTTGCAGTTAGGGAGAAGAGCACATTCTGTTCCGATAGGTGCCTGCCAGGTCTAGGTCATGCGTCTATCCCCTACCCCAGCCCAGACACCAGCAGCATGAACCACACCTGACTCATGGTCCAAGAGCGGGGGCAGATGGCTTCCCAAGAGATCATCAGAGTGGTGCCTCCAGGAGAAAGGGAATGAGTGTTGTAGGCAGCGTCCACAGAACTCCTTGGCAGATGGCTAAGAGTTTTCCCAAGTGGGACAGGCGTGGTGAGCAGAAGGAATGGCAAAGGAAGGGGTTAAAGGCAAGAAAAAGTTTAATTTGGGGTCAAGCTATCTGCCCAGGAGCTTAGATTCATCATCCGGGGCAGAAGTTCCCGATGAATGAGATACTGTGCAACGTGGGACTATCTTGGGCTTGACGCAATCCTGTGTGCACAACCTAGATTTGACACTCCCCCAACTACAGGAAAAAAAAAAAAAAAAGCACCACAATAATTTGTCCGCTCTATCAGTAGTAGCAGTGGCTGCAAGAAGCCGACAGATAAGATAAGCATTGTGCTGGGTGCAATTAGCAGCTTTAGAACCCAGCAACACGCCTTTCTCTAGCAAACTGCGATGCGTGCAAAGGCCACGTCGCAGACGTGACCCACGTGCGGCCCAGGAGCCCTGGCCTCTGGCGAGGCAGTCAAGAATGGTCTGCACCCCCAGCTCACGTCCTGCAGGAGGTCCAGTGCCCTCCAGGAGTTGCGTGCCAACTGTGGGAAGCTACATGGGGCCCTGGACAAGAGTCTCCACCCAAATCTCTGTCCATTCCTTCATTCAACCAGTATTTACTTAATGTCTATTATGTGCCAGGCTCTCTGCCAGGCGCTCGGGATATAGCAAGAACAAAAAGCACCCAAATCCTTGCTTTTACGGAGCTTATGTTTTAGAGGAGGAAAATAAATAAAGCAGAGAAGGAGGAGAAGCAGAGGTGGCTGCACCATTCGCCTTTGCAAATGGGCGGGTGAGGGAAGGTCTCCCTGAGGGGGCAACATGGGGCACAGACCTGGAGGAGGTGAGGGACTGACCGTGGGCCGCCAGTGGAGGGAACAGCAAGTGCAAAGTGCGGAGGCTCGTCAGAGGAGGAGGAAGAAGAATCAGAGGAGCCAGGGACAGGTGAGTAGGGGGAGACGACAAGACGGGCACGGTTGCATCTTGCCTCCTTCAGATGTTCTTGACTTCCTCAGCTTGGAGAGGATGGAGACAACGAAGGTGACACCTTCTCTTGGATGCCTCACTGCAAAGGCTTTCCTAAAGGATGGAGGCAGGGAGGGGCATTCACCTCGCAGCAAGGCACACAACGCATTCTGCTTTCTCTGTCTTTAAAAAAATTAAAAAAAAATTTTTTTTTCAACGTTTATTTATTTTTGGGACAGAGAGAGACAGAGCATGAACGGGGGAGGGGCAGAGAGAGAGGGAGACACAGAATCGGAAACAGGCTCCAGGCTCTGAGCCATCAGCCCAGAGCCTGACACGGGGCTCGAACTCCCGGACCGCGAGATCGTGACCTGGCTGAAGTCGGACGCTTAACCGACTGCGCCACCCAGGCGCCCCTGGCTGATTTTTTTTTAATGCCTATTTCTGCCATCCTCCCCCAGCCTCGAGTCCCTCTCCGTTCCTATTCCAGGAGCCTGAGGATGTGGCACAAGGACCATAGCTCTCTGTTCCTTCCAGGATTTGAATGCCAGCTCCTCACTCGGCAGCCAGCCGTGTGTCTCTGGACAAATTACTTAACCTCCCTGAGCTTCATCTGTAAAATGGAGATAGCTGTAAAAGAGGTTGTTAAGAGGATTAAATGAGATGACCCGTATAAAGGCGGTTAGCAATTAGCACTCTGCCTAGCAGGTAGTATTCCCTGGATAAATGTGAGCCATTATCATAAAACATTTGTGTAGTGCCTCCTACACTAGATGCTTGGCCTTCGAGGAGCTCTAGTGTGGGACACGGACAGATCTGTAAACGAAAGGTTACAGTACAATGGGTAGGAACTGTAATGGAATTAATACGGACGCAGCGCTGTCGATGCAGAGAGGGAGGGATGGGTGGTCAAGGCCGGGACACATTTGAGTTTGAGATCTGGAAAGGACTGAAAAGGTATTCCAGGAAAAAGAAACACAAGGTTCACGCAGAAGCAGTTAAGAGGAGACTGTGGCCCCATTTTATGCTGGGAGCTACACCGAGTTTTCACACCTGGAGACCGCTCAAAGTTGCACACAGGGTGGCAACAGACTTAGAGCTGTAATTTAGAAAGCTGACGCTGGCAGATATGTGCAATGCACTTGGGGCAGCAAGACTATAGAGCACGAGTGAGCAGCTGTTCACAGGAATACAGATATAGATGCAGAATACAGAGATAGACATGCTCATGACAGCAGGGAAAGTACAGGATCCCCACGGCCACAATTAGGGTTTAGAAGAATCTGGGCAAATGACTTGAGAGATTGATTCAGTACAGAGAACTCCATACCTCTACCTCGCTTGGCACATTCTGCTTCCTTTGTGTTGAATGCTCTTCCCCCACTT